CAATTTGCAACAACATTATCTGAATTAGCACAGCAATTAGCAAGATTATTAGCAGAGGAACTTGGACATAAGTCAAATTATTTCAAAGAAACATGTTTGCCAAACACTTGCTACCTAAGAATGAACAGATATCCAGCTTGTCCTATTTCTCCAGAAGTTTTCGGATTAATGCCACACACTGACAGTGATTTCCTCACAATATTACATCAAGATGAGATAGGAGGATTGCAATTACTAAGAGATGGGAAATGGATTTCTGTTAAGCCTAATCCTCAAGCACTTGTCATCAATGTAGGAGATTTGTTTCAGGTAATTGAATAATCTGTTTCCTAAATTTTGAACTCAATACATTATTTTAGAGTAGCAAGTGGGTGGGTCGGGTCAAACTTGAGGGAATCTAAATAGGTCAAATTAATAAATGATCCACCCTGCCCAAGGTCCTTTATGAAAAATATTTAATTTAAATAGTCACATNATATATATATATATATATATAAAATCTACTTATCATATGTATATAATTGTGTATAACCGTTGTATAATCTATGTATATTGGCTCGAAAAAAGAAACAGTAAATTCGACCGGCTATTTGTATAAAGATCCTAAGGTTTATTTGGATCAAAATGGATTGGATCACGATAAGTCAAATAACTGGTCCTAATCAAATCAACATGACCCAACCTCATCTCCTTTTTTTTTTTTCAAACAAAATGTGAAAGATAATATATTATTTTGTTAAATAATTAGCTTAATCTCTTTCAAATTAACTTATCCATATCTCCAAAATTAATTTGCTATATGTGTTTGGGTTCGAGTTGCATATTGACCAGTTGGGTTACATTATTTGACTCGTTTTGACCCAACAGTTTGATAGGTCATTTTGGGTTCACCCGGTAGATTCAAGTCAACAAACGGATCATGATCCAACCCGTATAAACTTAGGCAGTTTGGGCGTGTTACTAAAAAATATAGGATTAATTTTGCCACCTCTTGATTGTTTCACTTTAAATGGAAGAAGATTTATTTATAACTTTTTTTGGTAAAATTTCTTCAGTTCTACAAATCAATTAATGAAATAATGTTTGATTATGCAGGCATGGAGCAATGGTATTTATAGAAGTGTTGAACACAGAGTTGTGACAAATAAAGTAAAAGAGAGGTTCTCAACTGCATTTTTCTTATGTCCATCTTATGATGCAGAAATACAGAGTTTTGTTGAACCTTCTGTTTATAGGAAATTTTCGTTTAGAGAATTTAGAAAACAAGTCCAAGAAGATGTTAAGAAGTTTGGTTATAAAGTAGGTCTACCTAGGTTTCTTGTATCAAGCCACTAAACACAAAAATTTTGCAGTTAAATGCCTATATCATAATCATACTATCTGACCTTTAAATAGTTAACAAAGTCAAGAGGTTTAGGATTTTTTTTTTCTTTATTTCCGTATGTCTCACAATGTTAGAATGGGCTAATATCTATTCTCTCTGTTTTATTTTATGTGGAGTATTATTTTGTTATTAATTAATTCATTACAAAGAAAATGATAACTACTGTAATTTAACCTTAATTTCATACTTCAATTTCATAATTTACAAGCTCACATGTACTATTATACACCACAGTCAACCCAAGGACTTGGAGCACATCTTCTATTTTTTTTACTGCTTGAAATGATTGTTACGACCACAAAAGAACGACAAATTCCAACTACGGATATATAAAAGAGCCAAAACTGTTAGATTCCATCCAGCGTAAGCATCTGGATAATCTGGAATGCGACGTGGCATACACCAAAGCCCTAAGAAATGCATAGAAAAAAAGAAAGTCAAATTAACCCGAAAAAAGTGATCCCAGAGACTTAACCAACACTCCTCAGGCTTTTCTGGATATCTCTGTATCCTAGTAATAATCATAAATCACAAGGTTTCTTTGTACCCAAGCATAATCCAATTTCTGGTCACTTGATAAATGCCAAGAATTGTACTGATCCCACCAGTTTTTAGTGTGGTTGAAACACAAGAAGGAAAAGGATCTTCCCATTGGCAACCTTCTACACTGAAATCTTTATATGTTGAAACAAATGGTGCATTTTTCTAGTCTGTTTTCTCCAAACCACCCCTAGTAGCCCAATTATCTACATTCCATATGCTCCAAAACAAGTACATTGGCTTCTCATTAGGGAAGAAATTATTCGTATAATTCACGTTTTTGTATACCCTTATCGAACCTCATCCACGAAAAACTTGCACACACCAGAATGATAATGTCAATTCTAATTGAAAATAATTTATCTTAATGACAACTTTCTAAATTTGAAAATAATTTAACTCAAACTTCTCATTTTACCTTAATGAAAAGCTTTTATAATCTATATTATATTAAAAACACGAATGCTCTTAACGAAATGTCATTCGCCTTTTTTACTCTTTAGAAAAAGGTTTCACATTAGACAAAGTTGTAATTTTATTAGCTCTCCTAATATCTAGCACTTTAAAATCAACTAAAATTTTGGTTATTAAATATTTTTTTTATTAAACTAGGTAAAAAGTCCTAATATTTAGGACTTTAAAATCAATAAATTCTTTTCCTTATATAATTTTTTTCTTATTTTAAATTGTTAATATCTTTTTTTTTCTTCTATAAATAAAACTATAATAATAACATGTAGATGCCCCAATATTCTCCAACCACAAATAGAAACGAGTATATGGACAGAGATATTAGCACATATCTTACGTCTTATTTTTGCTTTTGGGGGAATTATTCTTGCACCTCTTTAATTTCATATTGATAATATTAAAGTCCCATATTTTATATTATATATTTTTCATCAACTCCTTTTAAAAATATGACGTTGAACATGAAAGTTTTTCCATAATATATTTAAATTCTAGAAAAAGCTGTCTATAACTCTTTTTTTTGTTCGGTTGTGCATGAAAAATTTATACACCTATGGTCCTATACTGAGTTACTTGAATAAAAAGTCTCTATATCCTTTTCTATTCCATTTACTATTTAGCTAAAACTAAAATAAAGAATGTAGTATTATTCTAGGGAAAAGGTCCAAAAATGACCTTGTGGTAGTCAAAATGGATCAATTTTAACCCCCGTTTAAATTTGAATCCAAAAATGACCCTACCGTTATAAAATGGGTCTAATAATACCCTTGTGTTATTCAAAATGGATCAATAATGCCCTGAAATTTTATTTTATTTTAAAAATGCTTTCAAAAACTGAAAAATATATATTCTGTAAAAACTAGAAAAAGAAAGGAATTTACAAAATATATATTTTTAAGTCTTTTTAGTTTTTTTAAAGTATTTGTTTTGTAAAAACTGAAAAAAAAATTAAAAAAAAACTGGAAATTTATTGAATTTTTTTTTTTTTAAAAACTGGAAATTTATTTAAAAAAAAACCCGACATATAACTGTAAATGAATATTTAAAAACTAACTAAACCGACATAATCGTACCGTACCGAACTAATTTTTAGTTTTTTTTAATAAAACCGTATGTTTTTATATAAATCTATAACTGTACCGATAATTATGGTAGATTTTTTATTTTATAAAAATAAACCGAAAAAATATTGAACCGTCAAATTGAAAAAAAAAAAAGATTTTGCAAAATATTTTTATTTTTTTAAAACTAATGCATATATAGTCCACTGCTTTAGGAGAGTTTTTTTTTCCAGTTTTTACAAAACAAATACTTTAAAAAAAGTGAAAAGACTTAAAAATATATATTTTGCAAATTCCTTTCTTTTTCTAGTTTTTACAGAATATATATTTTTCAGTTTTTAAAAGCATTTTAAAAAAAAATTCCAGGGCATTATTGATCCATTTTGAATAACACAAGGGCATTATTAGACCCATTTTATAATGGCAGGGTCATTTTTGGATTCAAATTTAAACGGGGGTTATAATTGATCCATTTCGAATACCACAAGGTCATTTTTGGGCCTTTTCCCATTATTCTATTGTATTTTTTTATTTTTGTTATTCGTTATAGGAACATGAATATATACAATAAATTTTATTATCTTCTACTTTTATGAGGTAATCTATATATTTTTATATTCATTTTGGTTTAATATGTAAGTAGCTATAAGCAATTATTAGAAGATACATTGAAATTTATCTTTCATATTATGTTAACTAGCATGAAGGACAATTGCACAGCTGCCTCATTTCGCCTTACCAACCCCAAAGAAACTCTGAATACAATCCTAGATCGTTTGTACAGACAGTGCTTTTGGGTTCTAAGATCCAAATTTGAGAGAAAAACAGACCAAATTTATACGCTAAGGTCCCTAAGCAATCACTTAGTGGAAAAGAAAGTGATCGAGCGACACAACCAGAAGCGGATTAAAGACAACATTTGATTGTCCATAAAATTCGGTAAATACAAAAGATAACATTTGATACATTTAGATGTATAATCTAGATGCATGGCTATGGATGGAGAAAGAAAGCTCTCTAAAAAAAAAAAAAAAGCGTGGATTATGGATGCTATTTTGCGATAGTGAGTTTTTTAAATCTGTTGGAATAACTTCTACAATATTTTTTATCGATTACGAAAAAATAATTTGAATAGACATCTTATGTCGGTTAATTTATGTCTTTTAGAATGAACTTGAGAATATATAACTTTTCAATAATTTAATTAGCTTTTAAAAAGAAAGCATGATAATTTGTGAAATTGAAGTAATAAAATTATAAAATTAGGAGAAATATTAAGTTGAACAAAGTAATTGAGATGCTAGATTGAGAACTTCTATGGGGTAGAATTTCTTCCTTCTTGAGTAATTGACTAAATAGGATCAACAATTATTATTTTCAAGAATTTTGTTTTTGTGCAAACTTTTATTTTTGTAACTTAAACATAATTTTCACTATAAAAAACATATAATTCATTGAGACAAGTTACACGCGCAAAGCGCATACTCTAAGACTAGTCACACAAATGTCTATGACTAGTTTTAGATCACATGTTTCAAAAGTTATCCTTTCTTTCTTAAACTTCGTGCGAATTCAAACTTTGCCGCATAAAATAAAACGATGGGAGTATAACCGACTTATTATAATAGGCTAAACCAGTAGGGATGGCAAACGGGGCAGTGCAGGGCGGTGCGGATTTAAGCTTACGCGGGGCAGGTGGGTTTAAGATTCCGCAGTACGGGGCGGGTGCGGGGTGGGTTCAAGAATGCTTTAAAAATTGTGGGGCGGTTGCGGGGCATTGAGGGTTAGGCAGTATTGACTTTTGAGTAATACGTGTATCGTACATTACTCCTCTTCATCAAAAGAAAAAATCAACTGTTTTGTACTTTTCTGTTCAAGTAAATTTCATATAAGACTTTCTCAGTTGGTATTTGGCATTTATAATTTTTCCCTTGCCTATCTTTAACATTTAAAAAAAAAGAATTTGTTAGTTCATTTGTCTCCTCTTTCTCTTGCTCCTTAAAGCTTAAATTTGCATGTCATATTCTAGCTATGCTCTAAACGTAGATATTACAAATCATTCAAGCTCTTTTTCTTCTTTTTTATTTTCTTTAAATTTCTTTAATTGTTCTATAAGGACCCATAGCATGACCAACACTTTTTGACAGATTTATCTTTGTGCAAACTTCATAGTTCTCAAAAAAAAACGATATTTATGAGATTTAGTGTCTTATTATTAATCATAAGAATATCGATGCCAACTTCTGGGGTAGGAGTGTTAGCAGTTTAAAAAAGATATATTTACTACCGATTAATAGAATTAACTCTCTAATTAAATTACTACTTTTATGGAGTATTACGCTAAAAAAATATTTTCTAACAATATGATTAGTAGTAGACCATGATCCAGCAGCACAACAGGTACGGCCAAGAAAAAGAGAAAGAAGCTCTAAGCCATTGGTAATTTTTTCTTTTTTAAAAAAAATAAAAAAGGAAAAATTTTGCTTCGCGGAGCGGGGCAAGGCGGGGCGGGTTTATGCGGATTGGTGCGGGGCGATTTGAAAACAGAAAAATTTGCTATGCGGGGTGGATCCCGCACCGCAACTGTCCCGCCCGCCCATTGCCACCTCTATCAACCAGACGCGGATGCAAACATTTCTTCAATTGGGCTCAAGTAGCCTACAATGCATATGTATATATTCAGAAGTACATGATTTCAGTGTCAATATTGGGAAAGTTAAAAGATTAATTCNATATATATATATATATATATTGCAGTTATCATGGTATTCTCTGACACCATTTTTTTTAGACCATAAGCATGAAAGAGTTGTTGGGAATAAACCCCCACAGAAATAATATTCACGTTATACGACTATAATAAATACGGATTATTAAAATACTGTAATCAACGGTAATAATAAGAGAAATAAGGACACCGAGATTTTTACGTGAAAAATCCTTCTGAATAAGAGAAAAATCACGGTCCGAGAGGAGCAACTGATTTCACTATAGCAAGGATTTTATAATTTTTGGTACCGAGTAAAATACTGCAAGA